ATGATTCTGTAAGGATATCCTGTTTGAGCAGGGGGTTGGACTAGATGACCTCCAAGGCCCCTTCCAACTCTGTCATTCTATGATTCTGTAAGGATATCCTGTTTGAGCAGGGGGTTGGACTAGATGACCTCCAAGGCCCCTTCCAACTCTGTCATTCTATGATTCTGTAAGGATATCCTGTTTGAGCAGGGGGTTGGACTAGATGACCTCTAAGGTCCCTTCCATCTCTGTCATTCTATGATTCTGTGTCTCCTCTTTGAATAGCAGGTTGGACTAGATGACCTCCAAGATCCCTTCCAACTCTGTGATTCTGTTATTCTGCTTCTCACAAGGATCTTTAATGCTCCAAAAGGCTGCAGTTGCAGCCTATTACTCCATGTGACTTCTGCTCGCAAATCACTCCAGTTGCTAAGCTACTGAACCGGCCGTTAAGTAAATCTCGGTCCCCCCCTTTGTCTTTGCTTTTCAGAAGGTCGCAAAAGGGGATCACGCAATCCCCAGGACACTGTGGCTGTCGTAAGTACAAGTCGGTCACCGACCTTCTGAATTTTGACCAACCTATCACGGGGGACGCTGTGATGGTCGTAAGTGTGAGACACCATCCTAAATCCCTTTATTCCAGTGCCGCTGTAACTTTGACGCGGTCGCTAATTGAGCGAGGGTAAGGAGAATTCCTGATGTTCGGGGCAAATCAGACTACAAACCCCATGTTTTGTAGTTAGTCCTCGTTTCACGACTGGTTGGTGAGTGGCGATTCTGCGGTAACTTTGGACCGCCGCTAAACGAACGGTTACAAGTCAGGAACACCCTGTACGAACCGAGGCTGCGTAAATGTCCAGATGCCTTTTCTGACAGAACAAGATGTCGAAAGAAATAACGGGTGTGAGAATCGCACAATTGTACGTACCGACACTAAATAGTTCTGTCTCCAGTTTTGGCAACAGCCCCAATTTTTCCTCCGGCCTTGCAAGACGTCGAAGGCGGCAACTTTGGCTTTGATTTGGCCCATCTCGGAGGGAGGGATGTTGGTCACCAGCTGCCTGGCTCGCCACCTGTAACAACACAACCGCAAGCACAACAGTTAACAATGACATGCAGCGGTTCGTTTAGTGACGGTTGAAGCATGCAACGTGAACAAAACTGAGACGGTCAGGAACTTGAAGGCTTTAAGAGGGGAGGACTCCAACTCCCAGAATCCCCCATCCAGGATGCTTTAAGAGGGGAGGACTTCCACTCCCAGAATCCCCCAGCCAGCCTGCTTTAAGAGGGGGAGGACTCCAACTCCCAGAATCCCCCAGNGGACCTCAATCAAGAGGTCAACAGCCCCAGGCCTGCTGGAAAAGGTTTTAATAGCTTTACGGAAGGCCATGAGAGTGGGTAGGGCCCGGCTCTCTAGGGGTAGCTCATTCCATAGGGCCGGAGCGGCAGAAGGCCCTGCTCTGAGGCGTCGCCAGCCAGCATTGTCCCACTAAAGGCACCCGGAGAAGGCCCATCCTGTGCGATCTTATTGGTCTAAGGGAGGTATGTGACAGAAGAGGGGGATGATGGAGGGAAGATAGAAAGTTGGTGGGGGCGAAAGAAAGAGGTGTACGGAGAGTGGAAGAGGTATATTGGGTTTCTATTTTTTTGGGCTATTGTTGACAAGAGGAATTGCTGCGATTATTGTTCAATGTTGTATGGCGTTGGCTATGCACAGTATATATGTGAGTGTATGAAAATGAAAAAAATGGAAAATAAAAACCTTTTTCAACCAAATAAATAAATAAATAAATAATTTATAAAATAAAATAAAGACCAGGAATACCAACAAGCAGTCAGAAGACATAATGAGAACTCCTTAATTGCAAATGTGGACAGATTCAACTGTAATTTCAACTGAGAAACAGAACGTCCTAGACCAGTGATGGTTAACCTTTTTTGTCTCATGTGCCAAAGTGGGGGGAGTGAAGGGGTGTCGTGCTCAGGTGTTCCACACCCATAATGCTATGTGTGCAACCCCCGCGCGCATGCGCACGTGACCAGGGCCTCCTCCCGCTTTTGGCACACTTTTTTTGTCCTCCCCAAGCTCCAGAGGCTTTCTAGGGGCGCTGGGAGGGCAAAAACAGCCTCCCCCACCCTCCCCAAAAGCCCTCCAGAGGCTTCAGAAGCTTCTGAAAAACTGGCCCTACGGGCAAACCAGAAGTTTGAGAATGGACTTCCAGTTTGGTTGTAGGGCCGTTTTTTGCCCTCATGAGCCTTCAGGGAAGCCTCCTGAAGTTCTCCGGAGGGCGAAAAACAGCCTCAAAAGAAGGACTGTCAGCTGGCCAGCGTGTGCAAGCACACTGGAGCTGACAGGGCAATGCCTCACATGTCCTAACAAATGGCTCCGTGTTCATCCTCATGGTCTTAGCCCAAACCAAGTTAAAAAAAAAAGAGAGAGAATTCCTGGAAGCCTGGCACTCAGACAAAGGAGCCACCGACGGACCCAGAGAGTTAAATAACGTTTACATGCCTTTGAAAAAGAGACGATAAAATCTATAACAGACAACGTAGGGATTGTAACAGCCACTATGTAAGGACAGGCGGGTAGAAGACTAGTAGAGAGCATCCACGAACGCAAACAATCAATCTCAAGGCACGATTCGAAACCTTGTTGTGGTGAAAAACTGAACGGCAAAGCTGGAAATTATTTTTTCGCTTTGCGCTAACACCTCTTGCTTTTGCAAGCCCTCCGGCACACGGTCACAACTTTGGAAGTGCAAATGAAAGACTAAATAAATGGATTTGAGGAGATGGCACAGAACTGCGGCTTCGAGTCTCACGCTTTGAAACTTCACTTATCTGGGTGTTTGTGCTAATTATACTGATCTTTCTTTCGTTAGGGATTTAAAAAAAGCAAATTTTTGGCCATGTGGGCCAATAACACTATTTTAAGGCTCTCCGTTAATGAGGCATTTTTTAGGGTTCATTTTTTGTAACCGAAGCCAATTTGGTCCAGGCTCAACAGCATGGAGGTGGGAGTTCTAGTCCCGCCTTAAGCATGAAAATTAGCAGTGAGTTCTAGTTGGTGAGTTCTAGTCCCGCCTTAAGCACGAAAGCCAGCTGGGTGAATTTGAGCCAATCACCAGGAGACAGTGAGTTCTAGCCCTACCTTAGGCATGAATGACAAGGGGGTGACTTTAGCTTAACTGCCAGGCGACAATGAATTCTAGTCCTACCTTAGGCAAGCCTGGCAAGTCAGATGAGTGACTTTGGGCCAATCACCAGGAGACTGGGAACTCTAGTCCTGCCTTAGGCACAAAGGAGCCGAGGTGGCGCAGTGGTTAGGGTGCAGTACTGCAGGCCACTTCAGCTGACTGTTATCTGCAGTTCGGCAGTTCTAATCTCACCAGCTCAGGGTTGACTCAGCCTTCCATCCTTCCGAG